CCCCATCCCCTCCCCCTTACCCAATTTTTTTCTTTAAAACAGCTTAAAAAAAAAATTCTCATATGCCACATCCTAACTGCAGTTTCCTTTCCTCCATTCCTTCTAGCCCCTCCCTCTACCTCTTCTCTCTCCAGATCCACTCTTCCATTCCTCCTAGGGATATCCACCAAGCATGGCCTAACAAGATACAGTAAGACTGGGCACAAACCTTCATATCAAGGCTGGAGTAGGCAACCCTGTAGGAATTGCAGGCAAAAGAGTCAGAGACACTTCTTTTTCTACTGTTGGGAAACTCACAAGAGCCAAGTTCACAACCATAAGGTACATGCTGAGGACCTAGCTTAGATCCATACACGGTCTGTGATTGCTTCTTTGTGTCTGTGAGCCCCTGTGAGCCCTGCTTAGTTGATATATAACTCAGTTATCTTGAAACATTTGGAGTGCACAGTTCAGCCTCTTAGTATAGTTTACATCCATCATTATAGCTTCACTCTGTACACTTTCATAAACTAATGCCCCTAAGCAGTCAATCTTCATTCTCTTCTAGTTTTATTTAACCTGTCCTAACTCTTAAGTAGCCACTTGTCAGAAAACAAAATATGCGAATGTAGTTACAGACCCCATTAACTTTTACTTGCAGTTCTTTAACCCCAGACCATACGCACTGGACACTAGCTGAGCAGTGGTTCTTATAAAATTGGAACAAAACAACAACAGTGAAAAGAGCTGATGAGTTATGTGTGTTAGAGAGTGAGTATGGGTGCTCCATGGAGGCCCAAACAGTGTATCGGATGCTTGGGGCTGCAGTGGAAAGTGAGTGTGGGCCGTCGGGAAGAGCAGTAGGTTCCCAACCCTGAACCATTTCTCTAGCTCCTGGTTACGTTTGTCTGTCTGTCTGTTTGAAATCTGTTTTCAGGACTAATTGATCTGTTTGGGGATCCATTTACTTCCTTAATGTTTCAATTTGATTATGTGACATTGTGTAAAGTGTGGATGTTGGTATCTTCCTCTGAAGGCAGAGTAAGGAAGTCCATGTACACATGAATAAAGAATAGCATCTTTATTTGGGGGACACTCACACAATGAAGGTAAATAGCTGTCGCTGTCTTCTGCCCCTGGAGGTGCAGGATTCTGTGATGATGATGCTCAGACACAACCCAAGAGAGAGAGAGAGAGAGGCCTCGCCTCTTCCTTATAAGAGATCACATCGCACACTGAGCTACACCCTAAGGCAGATGCCACTACACTCTTCTATCGCTCCGACTGATTTTTTTTTAAGATTTTATTTATTTATTATGTATACAACATTCTGCTTCCATGTATATCTGCACACCAGAAGAGGGCACCAGATCTCATTACGGATGGTTGTGAGCCACCATGTGGTTGCTG